GAGCTGCTGGAGCAGTTTGGCTTGAATCTGCACCGGATCGAGAAGGATGTGCAGCGCTGCGATCGCAACTACTGGTACTTTGCCAGCGAGAATCTGGACAAGCTGCGCAATGTGATATCGACGTATGTGTGGGAGCATCTGGATGTGGGCTACATGCAGGGCATGTGCGATCTGGTTGCTCCATTGCTGGTCATCTTCGATGACGAGTCGCTCAGCTACAGCTGCTTCTGCAAGCTGATGGAGCGCATGATCGAGAACTTTCCCAGCGGCGGTGCCATGGACATGCACTTTGCCAACATGCGGTATCTATCCCCATCCATATCCATGCACCCATCCATGTCTCTTTCACTAAATCTCTAAATCACTTTCTATCTGTCTCGCTCTATCAGCTCGCTCATCCAGATACTGGACTCGGAGATGTACGACCTAATGGACTCGAACGGGGACTATACGCACTTCTATTTCTGCTACCGCTGGTTCCTCTTGGACTTCAAGCGCGAGCTCATCTACGACGATGTCTTCGCCACCTGGGAGGTCATCTGGGCGGCCAAGCACATTGCCTCCGGGCACTTTGTGCTCTTCCTGGCGCTGGCGCTGCTCGAAACCTATCGCGACATCATTCTATCCAACAGCATGGACTTTACGGATGTCATCAAGTTCTTCAATGGTGGGCTCGAATCTCTTTGATTACTTTTTATACATTCATTGATAAATATTTGTTTGGTATTTCCTTTTGTGAATTCCAGAAATGGCTGAGCGTCACAATGCCCAGTCGATTCTGCAGCTGTCGCGCAGTCTTGTCCTGCAATTGCAGACAATAATCGAGAACAAATAAGTAATACGATTTGGAACTGGAACTGGAACGGGAACGGGAACTGGAACAGGCAGTGGAATCCAATGGGACTTGTGGCAACTGTGTGTGTATAAAAAGTGTGTGCATGCCTCTCTGTATGTGTGAGTGTGCGCGTGTGCGTGTGAGTGAGTTATAGGTGTGTCTGTGTGTGCCAGAGAGTGAGCATAGGAGAGCATGATCCACGACTGTTGGAAACTAGCACATTGTAGGCTCAAGAAAGTTTAGTTTAGATCTCGCTTAACGGTCACACGCAATACAGATAGTATCCGTACTTCCTTGAACAGTATTGGAGAGTTACAAACATACAAAAGTTATATATGTATATGCATATGGTATATAGAGAGCACTAAAGTATCGCAGACTAATATAGGTTGAATGCATGAGAAGAAGGTATATACAACAGTTAGGGAGCACACAGAGGAACTAGAGAGGACTACGCACATACATATTTAGTTGCATGATCATATGTGTGTAGAGACTTGAGTAACTCTAACTGTAATTGTAGTTGTAACTGAAACGGTAGCGGTAACTGTCACAGTAGTTGTATTGAAAGCACCGTTAGGACATCGAACGCTCTTGGGGCAGTTGTTAGTTAATTAATGGTTATCGTGTTTCCTTGAACGCTTATCGGCTATCGATTATGAGTTATCGTTTATCGATCGGCCATTGTTTCGCATTGAACGAGCATTGCCCATGGATCATGGACAATTCTGCAATTTACTGGCTGGGAATCGTTTTAAAATTAAAAAAAAAAAAAAATAATAATAATAATAATAAATATATACATACATATATGCATAACAAAAAGATTATAAAATTCATGGAAAAGAAACGAAAAAATAAAATTTATTAAGTCAAAGACAAAACGTAACGAAACTAAGCCGCAAAGAAATGTAGTGACCTGAAAAATAAAAAAAAAACAAGGGTTAAAATATACTATAAACAATGAAAATGTTGAGAAACAAATATTAAATATTTATACATATACAATATATACATAAATATATATACACGCATTATTATACATATATAGATATATATATGGCATGCATATACTGTATACAGACATACATATACATATATATATATATGGATAAATGTATATACATATAAACATAACTATTTAGAGACAGTTGCATATTTATACGTTTTATATATTCAGAGAAGAGAATATTGTTTCATATATACATCTATATATATATATACATATATATCAATATGTAAACTTACACACACACACACGCACATACATGAACACTAGTAGTGGTGTGGAGGGTTTTTTTGCGGTTGGTCGAGCGGGTTTTTAGACGAAGCAGCTACTGCTTCTATTATTGTTAATGCCATGTTAAAGTTTGTCATAGATAAACAAACACACACACACACACACACACACACATATATACATATACATGCATATGCATGCACACCCACACTCAGGCATTAAGTGTTTCAATTGTTTGCTGGGCAAGGCAATTGTTTAGTTATGGTGCTTACTTCAGTCATTGGCAGCGGGTATGTTAGTCAACTGGGTATGCAGGCACCAATATATAGATACATATGCATATATAGATGATTTATAGACCAAAACTTGATATTATGTAGAATGCGATACGGCTTAGATTGAACAACAACTAATGTAGTGTATTATGAAATGTTAAATATATGTAACTGCATGAATTAGACAGGGATTACAGTGATATATATATACATATTTATATACATATATATATTTATATCACTGTAATCCAGCTGAGCAAGGTTTTGTTTCATAATCAAAAGATTCTCAGGCACTAATGGATGTCCGTTTATGGAAAATACCAAATAAAATACCATTACATACATATACCAAAAGCTCAATATAGTCAAGAAATTCCGTTGTATGATCAGAAACGAATTGAGGAAATCAGTAAAATCACATCAGAGACAAATTTTGTTATTATTATTGTTATTGTCGGCACAGGGTATACGCTAGTCGGTGCCGTACACGACTAGAACTATTTGGTTTGACTCAAACTGATTTCATTTCCATTTCTTGCTGTGCGGGCGCACCAGAAAACTCCCTCCATTGGGCTAAAAGGTTTGTTGTTTACACACATGTAATACGCGCATACAGATGCAATTACATTTACTATATACACACACACACACACACATTCATATATATATACACTACAACAGCCATACAAACTTATATATATATATATATATATATTTATAAATATATACCCTAAAAAAAGAAAATCAGTAACTGCGAAACGCACGCTTTTTGTGTATAGAAAAAAATAAAAAAAAAAAACACTCCAGAAAAACACTAAAAAATAAAAAAAAAAATTAATGTGATTTCTTGTTGCTTCTATAAATATTGATATTTTTGTAAGCGCTAACGAAATGATACACAAATTGATACAAATATGATAAACATACATACATGCATATATACATATACATATATTAAAATATAAAGTTCGCATTCGGGTGAGAGTTTAAGTAGAGCCTAGAACAAAAGGTGCAAACGATTCAAAGATTTGATAAACAACAAAAAAATAATAAAATAAAACTTTTGATACACATATTCGACGAATGCTAAGAAAATTTCAAGCAAACGAAAAGACAAGAAGCATTATTATTTGAATATTACCTGAAGTAGAGACATATATATAGAGCATTAACACACACACAAAAGCATATAAAACATAATATATATATATAAATGCATATAAGTCAGTATATATGTATACATGGATGTTATATAGCCAGGCATATATACTTAATATATATACATAAATATATATAAATATATATACATATATATATATATACACCATTGAAGCATTGAATGAACGATTTAGCAAACGCCATTATACATAGCTGAAAGTGAATGTGAAAGTGAATTCTAAAGATATGCATTATCACAGACACTAGTACATATATATATACATACACATATTAAAGAATGAAAAAAAAAAATAACAAATAAAAAATGATACAAATAAATGTGAAATATGCTAAATTGATTACAACACCAAAAACCAAAAAATCTATTCATTTTAAAATTATATTTGATATAAATACAAATTAACTTTTGCGTAAGTATCAAATGGGGATTAGCTGAAAGAAAAAATTTAGGGTTTCGTGTGCTTCATAGTCATTTTTTTTTTTAATTTTTATTTATTTTTATTTATTTTATTTTTTTATTGTAGTCAACCCAAAAAGGCGTATAGAGCGTTCTTTTAAGCATAAAAAAAAGCAGGGATTTTTTACAATATTTTACATTTATTTTGAAAAGCACTATATAGACAATATACATAGAGTATAGATATTTATTTATTATTTATTTGAATTAATCGACCTTATTTAAAGTTTAAATCAATTTTCATACTTTATGTAATCTCTCATGCAGTACAACAGAATCAATATACCCTTCACACGCATCTGGCATTTGTTTTGTGGTGGTGTAAGATTGTGCACCACATGTAGAAAAATGTGTGCATAGCTTGCTGCATACTTTCTGCAACGACTGTGGTTTTGTGGTTTTCCTTTCAAGAGTTGTAAGTGCTTTGACCACAGATTTTTATTTCACGGAATATCAATGCCTGGGAAATTTCCAGCAGAACACGAGGGCTTTGCTCTCGTAAATATTGGGCCGGAGTGGATATCAAGTGAAACTTCAATGGTCCTATGCGGAATAAGAGACATAATAGTACTGCTAAAGTCTTTGAGTGACATATATTTCATGAAAATGATTGAGGATGGATATGTAGGCTATGCAGTACAGTAGAGTAGTAGTAGAGTCCGATTATAGCGACAAACTTACATAAATGAAAGGGCCTTTGTTTATAGATTAATTCGGGTATAACTACGTAAAATCATCGGTGCATTGATCGTCGCTATAACCAGATTTGATATATTATAAATATATATATTTTTTTAATTTTATAAGATATTTTATTTTTATACAATTTTAGTTATATACATACATATACGTATATTTTTTTTTAAACTTTATAAATATTTTTATTTTTAATTGAATATTCTTGTGCTTTATGGTTATTACATTTTTTTTAGAGCAATTGAGATACTCTTATTATTTCACAGCTAAAGATTTTTTTTTTTTTTTTTTTTTTTTTTTTATTGCCATTTTTAATCTTGTACTTGCTTAAGTTTTAAGGCTAATGACAAATTTACAGAGTTAATCTGAAAATTATTTAATTTTTAGAAGAAAAATTAATATTAAAATTTTAGGCTAAAATTTTTACATTAATTTTTTTTATACATTTTATTTACTATATATTTTTGTAAATAAATATTTTGCATATTGCTTTACTTTGACTGATTTTTATTATTATAAAATTATCGAAATTATTGATTAAATTTGCTTGAAAACATTCCGAGCTAGTGACGTCGACTTAAAGCAGAGCTTCATGAGCGGAGCTGTGGTTGGCTTTGGCTTTGGCTTTGGCTTTGGCTTTGCAATTGGAGCGAATGCCGATGCTGGGCGCACAGGTGTAGGCGTAGGCAGGTGGCTATAGGTAGAGCCAACAGATTTGATGGTTGGCACACAGGAATTCGGAGTGTGCAGGTTAGGTAAGCTGGGCCCAGTGACGCCACAGCGCAACAGGAGGAGCAGCAGCAGCAGCAGCAGGAGCAGCAGGAGCTGGAGCTGGAGCAGGAGTTGGAGCGGTATCAAGTGCGGTGCGGGTTGCAGTAAGCGCAGCGCGCAAACTCGCCAACGCGCAAGCCAGCAAAGCAACGAAGCAACAGTAATAACAGATGCCGAATTTGGGGCAAACGGCGAACTAGAACTGGGGCTGGGGTCAGAGCCGGGTCGTTTGTCCTGTTGCTTGTGGCGAACGCCGTTCGACGTCAGCACTGTGCATATGTATATAAATGTGTGTGTCTGTATGTGTGTGTGTGTGTGTGTGTGTGCGTACATACAGATACATAAAATTACGGCAGACGTGCAAGCGGGACAACAAGTGTTAAAGGGCAGTTAAAAAAGCTTTTGATGCTTGGCTAAAAGGGAAAGGCAGACAGCCAGA